AGATGAAGATGGCCGGGTGCCAGGTGTAGGGGCTGGATTCTCAGCCCTGACTGCCCATTCTAGAGGCTCAGTGGGTCGGCGTCTTGTTGATGGCATTGGGTGCGGGCGTCTTGTCACCAGGTGTACCCTTTTGGATTCGAGGCTTCTGGAATAAGCCTCATCAAGCTCTCTCTTAGCTTTAGTTAGAGAAGTCCTCTCCCATGGAAGCCTTTTGACAAGGTATCTGCTTAACTTGCTCTGACCACTTTCATCCTCAGAAAAGTCAGACTCATCTGAGCTTGTGTATGCTAGGTTCCCTACAGCTTCTTCAACCTGTGCCTTTTTCTCATTTGACCAGGGCATGGTCTTCAGTGTTACCAGCCTCTTCTGAGTTTTCTAGGAAAGTAAAAATAGCACAAGGTTAACAAGTGCAGCCCCAATTGTTTCCTTTCAAAAGATGCTTGTATCTGTAACATGACGATACAGTTAGAAACCTGAGTAAAATAACTTACTGCTTTAAGAACCTACTGGCAGAAAAATTGCAATTTTATAAAATATATGAACCTGTTTAGCCAGGAAAGGTCAGGCAGGTTCTCATAAGTGGCTTACAGTTAAATTTATTTATGATAAAGTTTGGGTGTAAGATTGCAGTGTTAGAAATTACCCGGTGAGTTTGTTTATTTATTTTCTGATAGTCAACAACAAATTTCTTCATAAAAATTAAGAACTTTCAATTACTATCCCTAAATGCAAGAATCTATTTTGTTGGACTTAACAAATAAAGGTTCTTACACGCAAGTTTTGTGTGTACATGTATTTACATATATTCTTGTAAACAGTAATGCTACTGGATGTTGTTTATGCTTAGCAACCAAAAGGAAAAACTAATCATGGTAATTTTTAGTACTTTATAAATGTGTTATTGCATGTACAAGTGTATCATAATGGAAACAACTTACATCTCTCATCCTTCCCTGCCTTCGGCAGAGATCTTTGTGAGCCTCCAGCTTGCCCTTTTTTGCCCTCATGGCAGCATCATACAAACTCTTTAAGTATGTCGCAGCAGCCCCTTAACAGGAAAAAATTGTCCTTGATATTAGTACATGTTCAAGTCATGGAAATTTACATTGAAAAGAAAGAATGTGTTCTACATTGTGCCAACAGCCCTTAGAGTGACTTATCAATGTAAATATAAATAGTGTGATCATTTCAGTTGACAACACCCAATTCCATCTGATATAAATAAAAAAGAACAGCTGATAATGGATGTTTTAACAGTGATGTGAAGATAAGACACCAAAAAGATTATGTCAGGTGATATGAGCCCCTGAGAACTACATTTTCATACCCCCTCCCTCTCCAATATGAGAGAACTTCTTTATGGACAGACCAGGTAAACATGGAAAAGTAATACAGGGGAAGTTTCCAGTAAACTGTGTCCATTCCTCCTCGGAGGCATCAATTAACCATGTTTTACATGTATGGTTTGAACCTCTGTTCCAGAAACTATAAAATAGAGGGGGAGGTGCAGTTACCTTTCATTTCAGCTGGAGACCAGGGGCAATTTTCAGTGCCACCATGATCAGCTATGACTGCCTCAATAATTGTCTTGGTGGCAGTCTGGTTAGCCTCTGCTAAAAAGCTAAAAAAGTAAAAATGGGATTTATTTATTTGTATATTTATATTATATTTACCTCTTATTAAGGTGGCTGAGCACAGTTTATATGATACCTGCGCCCCATTTACCGTTTCTCTAAAACGACTGATCTCTAAGTCTCTAAACTTTGCATGATATTAGATAAAAGGATGGGCTTTCGTATTTTGATAGTTAAGGTGGCATGTGTGTTGTTGCCATGGCAATGCAACTTGATAAAAAAATGACTTTAAAATCGGGTTTTATTAATTTGCAGAAAATCTAGTCGTTAGATTGTCTTCATTAATTGCTTGAAAGAAACTTGTTAAAATGTAGGCATGTTAGCACTATTACAATGATAATTTAACAGAGGGATTTTGAGCTATCCTTTGTTGAAGGAAAACTAGATTATTTACAATTTCCTCTGTTAAATTTAAAATTTTTTGCAATCGTCCACTTACTTGCTTCCTAAAGTATCTTTCTGCTAAATTTTATGAAATTCTAACGAGTGATTTTTGAGAAATCCGCGCGTTTCTGCTAGAAAATGCGTTCGCATTTTTTCGTCCAACTGCGCATGCGCTGCATTCGATTGGCTTCTGGCATAATGGCGAATATCCTAAAAAAATGCTGGATTTTTTATATGCTGAATATTTATTTCATAACAGTCCAACAAAAGATCAAACCTGACACAGTGTGTGTCATTTTAAGAAGGAAAATACCACATACTTCACAGGCGTAAAACAAATAAACCTCGCTTTATCGGCGCCATGTTTGTTATTTTGTAATCTTTGTGCGCGCGCTGCCTAGCATCAGCAAAGCCTTTAGAGCGCGCGCTGAAAACTATGTTCGGCCACCTTAACTGAGCAGGAGGTCTGTACAGTTGTACAGTACCGCAAATGATCCTGAGACCGCAAATGATCCCCAAAATGGACCGCAAATGATCCTCGACCGCAAGTGATCCCTAAAGTCGACCGCAAATGATCCCGAAAGAAAAATAGGAATGACGTGGACTCAAGTTAGCGGATCATCGTGTCGATTTTATTGTTATAACAATAAGTCAGATTAAAAGCTAAATTTTACTTCTCAAATAAATATATGATTGAAAACTAAATAAAAAAATCATTCAAGAGTAAAAACGAAGTCGGTAGGCAACATACGACTTTTACCTCATGCTAAAATGCTGCTTATTCCAATGACTTTTTTCTGGCTCTGGCGGGTAGATTATACCTCTGAAGAAAACGTTTTGACTGAACAAATGTGATTTTTGCCGCTTATTTCATACTGAGAGGACATGACACGCATTTTCTGTGGTTATTGTTGTTTCTGGTCGGCATGATTTGCCCTTTGATGCAAGAGCATTTCCTTTGACCTCTTTTGAAATGCAGTGCTCTTCATTGCCGCTAAATAAGGGTTTTAGGTTGTTTAATTTTCTCCAAAGTGCCTCCTGAATCCGAATGATCATAAGGGATTTTCTTTTAGTCCGTGAATGTGACGGTTTCGTACGATGTTTTGTCACGCAATAACTGTAGACCGCTTACCTGGCGTTTCTCATTACCAGGTTTAGATTCCTGGTAACTGTCTTTGGCAAATCACAACAAATGAATATACATAAAAACGCTAATATAACTATTCACAACACGTTCATGAGATGTAAGAAAGTTGCTATTTCGAAATAAACCGAAACCTGTGGACATTGATAAGTTCGGGGACATTTTGACTTGTGTTTATGTTAAATCATGTCTTGTTTCGTAACCGGCACCTAAGTTACGAACAAATGTCTTGCTGTTTATCACGTAAAATTAACACTTCAGAGAAAAATCAAATGAAATATTCTGGCTGATTAATTTCACGCTTTCAAAAAGATCGGTAAAGTCAATAAAGCTCTTGTTATGTAGAGGGTGCCCGGCCTTGTATTCCTCAGTAGAAGAGTTGAGCTTCTAGGCGTTAAAATAATAGAGCTTTTTCTGTGTAACGTCCTGCCTGTCTTAAATTTTTCAAAAGACGAAACATTCTTGAAAGAAAATTGAAGCAATCGACAAAGGAAGAAGTATACGGTTAATACCATTCCTTTTCAGATTTATTCCATTTTTTTTTTCGCCTTGTATAAATTGACCTGAGATGTAGCGTCCTCCTTCCCTTTTTCTTTAAAAGACGAGAGAAAAAGGTTTCTTTTTTATAATCAGTCCTTTTTTGTAATCACTCCCATAAAAATCCATTCCATTCCTCAAGTTTTCACGGGATCATTTGCGGTCGACTTTAGGGATCACTTGCGGTCGAGGATCATTTGCGGTCCATTTTGGGGATCATTTGTGGTCTCGGGATCATTTGCGGTTGGGGATCATTTGCGGTACTGTACAGTACTCATGACCAAGGTCAAGATTCTCCCATACAGACCTCCTGCTCAGTATACATGTATACGCCTCCCAATATACATGATTGTATTTAATGGCTATTGTTACCTCTCATCCAACTTAAAGCCATCAAAATCTTCATTCTGTGAAAGGGCTTTGTACATCTTTCTAACGTCTTGCTGCAATTACAAAAGAAAAAATCTTTTTTCGGTATCCTTGTGTATGTTGTTCATATTTAAAGAAGCTACATTCTGTACGTCATTGTTCGTGTACTTTGAAAAAATTGGCTTAACTTAACTAGCAACACAAGAATAATAACTAAAATTTAATTTTGCATAAAACCACAACTGCCAAATCTAAATTTAATTTTGCATAAAACCACAACTGCCAAATCTAAATTTGCATAAAACCACAACTGCCCGAGCATGCGCTGTGAAACCCATATAGCCAGATTTTGGCTACGGCTGCGCAGAGTTACCCAGAGCCCTTGTCGCCGTAAGGGCACGTGATAAAAGACAAGGGCTCTGGGGTCGAGAATGGCTTTGTCCCATCTTAATGTGAGAATTTTCCTTGCTATGATTTTTACATCTTACAAACGAACGTAAAACTAACGAACGCTTAGCATAAACTGTCACAAATGTCGCTAAAGAACGGAGAACATAAATGAAGATCGAAGCTCAATCCATGTCACGCTGTGTTTTGTTTGTCACCCAGCGAGTAATCGAGCATGAGCAAGTAAACTTAAACTTTGAATTTACAATTCGTGGTCGCAATCAGTCGCTCCAAAGTATTTCTGATAACAGAAAAGTAACAGAAATATTTATACTTACGCGACACTGCTGCGGGACTGAGATTTTCCTCCTTCTTTTCCTACTCGATCGTCCTGATCTTTCTGGTTCAGTGTTAGAGCTCTCTATTTTTGAAGCAAGTTCCTCAAACATTCGTCGTTGTTCGTTGTCTCGCGCTTCCATCGCTTCTCTGAGACGAACATTTTCAGCCACAACCCTTTCAAGTAAAACGACGTATTGATCTTCCATTATGAAGAGTGCAGTCTATCACGAATCTGACCACGAACTCAAGCAAGAGGCTTCTGAACTGACGAAAGGACGCGCAACACCGGAAATATGACTGCTTTCATGTCACGCCGACAGAAACTGCCGACAAAGCGAACCGCCAAATCCGCGCCATAAATGATGGTTTTTGATTGGCTTTTGCTATAAAGACTGTGCGTGATTGGTTGGCGGCTTGTCACGATGTCACGCCGATAACACGCCATTATGACATGGAACAGAATCTCGCACCAGACGAGTGATCATTGAGAACTTGCATATTTTGTCGCGAGCGCGAATGTATTTCGCTGGAAAATGTCTTCCCGTCTGAGAAAACAAACTAGAGTGTGGTGTGGACATTGCAATGAATACTTATCTAGGTCTGGAAACATCGACAGGCTTATTATGATGTGAAAAGTGAACGTTGGATAACGAAAGATGACGCGGGACGTTTGCACAGTTTGGGAGATGATGAAAAGAAAGCAAGACTGCATGACCCTGATGATCAAATGCATGAGTTCCGTGATGAGCCATCCGAATCTTCCAGTGATGAAGATTTTGAAGCAGCTTTATCTAGGGAAGGTATGTAGAGGTTATAAACTATTTTTACCGTTCATAACATAAAAATTGTATGCAGTAGTGTCGTCTGGACGTACAGTTTCAGTTTTAAGACTGGGTTCTAGCCGCACGAATCACGCGCGACACTCTCGGGAAACAGGCATGGCGGCGCATAATCTTTTTTTGCAGAAGGCTTTCTCGTCCATTCTTCAGGGTAAATCACGTTTTCACAACATTTTTAGCCGCCAAACTGTTTTTTACGATAAGTTAAAGAAAAATGTTTTCCAATCAGCATGTATGGTGCCATAGAGAAAGTTTTACAGTCATACAATCATATACTGTTGCCGTGGTAACTGCTGATGACTGAATGTACAGGGAAAGATAGGGCTGAGTTGGTTTGAGCAGGAGCAGATCCAATTTATGCCAATTTTTTCTCTTCTAGTTATACCCGGCATAGCAAATCGAACCCAATCGAACTGAATTTCAATCGAACTTTTAAAATCGAATGAAATCGAACTCAATTCATGGATTGAGTTCAATTGAGTTTGGCAATCGAACGAAATCGAACTCACCGAAAAGAGAAAAAATCAATCGAACCCAATCGAACGTTCGATTTTTGAACTCGTGATTTGTGTAGCAGGTGTTGAAAATTGATAACCAGATCTTGGAAGCACAAGTTTCTTCAGCCTGGAGTGTAGCACACGTAGAAATTCCCTTATGGCTTCAAATGCACTGTGGATTGTAACCTTCAAATACTGTACATAGTCAAAGGCTACCAGGAATGCCGCTTTGACATCAAGGATGGCGACGTTTTTAAGAAAATAGGCGAGAAAGGCCGTGCATTCCGAATTGCAACCCTTGAGTAATCCTTCGAGTTGTCTTGCCACAGTTGTAAGTTAGCTAAATAGGAAAGGGTATAATAATTTCGGAATACGCCTGCAGGAGTGATGAGAGCTTTGTTCTCTCCTGTTCTGTTCTGTTCTCTAACTGCCTTTGCACAGTTTTTAAATGGTTTCTGTTATTGAATAAATTAAAAAAACCTCCTTTGATGGGCTTGATTTGGACTTGCTTTGTATAGGTAGAGCCAATCAAACACAATCCATGTTAAACCTAACTCAATCAAACACAATCAGATGGATTGAGTTCGATTTAGTTCGATTTGTTCGATTGAATTCGATTTGTTCAGAAATCGAACTCACTGAAAGTCTGGTGTTCGATTGAGTTCGATTTTCGAACGTTCGATTTACTATGCCGGGAGTTATAATGTATATCATCACTTGCGAGGCAACCCTTCCATGAAACCATTTGAACACTGCACGAAATTGCTTTGAACTCTTTTCAACTTCACATTTCTGCAACAAAAACTGAAACAAAATGAAGGCTGGATAAATTTTATTGGGATCTTTTAATTTATTTGAATGTATATTTGGTGGCATTTGGCAATATAATGTGGAAATAAGAAAATAGAGATTTCTATGATCAGCCATGATAGTGTCCCTTTAACATTGACAGGTTGCGACCAGGTTGATGATTATAAAGATATCTCCAGCTTTGATGATGACGCAGATTTCTCAAGTGCAATGAATGATGACATACATGTAGAAGAAAGTGAATCGGCCAGTCAGGTACATCTAAAGTATAGGCAGATTGGTGCTGACGTCATTGTTTACATTTTTCGTCATTGAGCATACAGCTTTGCTTGGAGAAGGCAACGCGACAAACTCACTCTAGACTCTGAAAGCTATTTTCGTACGATATTAAGGAGGTATTGGCTTCCAAAAACTGTGGCAAAACCCCTAATAATCCCATACATTCTTTGTGAAAATTTACCTTTTCAAATCCAGATCACTCAACAAGTATTAAACAAATCAGGCTCAAATTTACATTGTATGTATGGTTCAATTCCACCTGTAACCATCCCCCCAGGCAACCCCGGGAACCGTTTGAAGCAGTCTTGTCCCGGGGGTACCGAGGTAGGGAAAATCAAAAATTAAACTTTTCGTTGTTCTTGCAAAGTACGCTGTTTCTCGGTTTACCGTAGAGAAGATTGCCTATTTCTCAGAAAAAATTCTCTACAATTTCTAACTGACTAGTAAGACAAGAATTATCTCTAAAATTTAAAAGCCGCAGTTGTTTAAACTGTGGTGAACATAAATTGTTTACAAGTCTCAATAACCTACACATCAACACTTGAGTTGAACCAACCTATGCAATCCGGGGAGGTGGGGGAAACAGTTGAAACTGAACCATACATTAACATTACAGTTAAAGCTCCCTCAAGCTAGCTTCTTGTTAGGACTTGATGTGTTAATAAACATTTTTTTTTTCACTTATAAAGGTCTTGTCTTCTGACACTGATTGTTCTGAAAGCGAAAATGACTGTGGTTGCAGTGAAAGTGGTTGTAGTGACGAAGAAGATACTGAAGAATGGCACGAAGATGTTGATGATCTTCTTCAAGATGTGGGCCATGATGAACCCCTACCAGAACCAATCCAGCACCGATCAACGACACAGACACTGACTACATTACTTCAGTGGTTGATTTATTTTTTGTTATTTTGGCAAGCTACATGCAAGCTAAGTGACAATGGTCTAGAGTGGCTGTTGCGTTTTATGTTCCAGTTTTTACATGCAGTGGGAATCACTTGTAACAGTGAATACCTTTGTCAAATGGCTCTAATGCTGCCAAGTTCGCTGTACTTACTTCGACAGTTTGTGAACTTAAAGCGGGATAACTTTGTCAAGTTTGCAGTCTGTCCAAAATGTGCATCACTTTATAAGCTGGAGAGTTGCACAAGGCATGTTGGAGGTCAGATTGTTTCAAACATCTGTTCCCACAAACCATTTAAAAAGGGTTCAAAGAGGGAGTGTGGAACAGCATTGGCAAGAAAAGTAGTCCTGGGCAGTGGAAAGGTGTGTTTTTATCCACACAAACTTTACTGTTTCAACAGTGTTATTGATCAAGTGGAAGCATTACTTAAAAGACCAGGACTTCCTGAAATGTGTGAGCAGTGGCGTGAACGTCAAATCGATGACAACATTGTAGCTGATGTTTATGATGGTAGCATCTGGAGAGATTTCCTTACATATAAAGGGAGTGACTTTCTGAATGCCCCTAGAAATCTTGCATTCGCGATCAATGTGGACTGGTTTCAGCCGTTCAAGAGAAGATGTGACAGATCCATTGGTGTAATTTATTTAGTTCTACTAAATCTACCAAGAGAAGAACGGTTCAAATGGGAAAACGTCATAGTAGCTGGAATTGTACCTGAAATGAGTAAAGAGCCCAAGTCATTAAACACATTTTTGGCACCAATTGTTGATGAGCTCAAGGCATTTTGGAAAGCCGTTAAACTTTCAACTAGTCAGAGTACAATACCCCTAAAATACCGAGGTGCCCTCCTTCTTGCTTCAGCAGATCTACCTGCTGTGCGGAAACTGTGTGGTTTCAAAGGTCATTCAGCACATCGAGGCTGCTCAAAATGTGTTAAGTATTTTCCAGGGAGCTTTGGCGAGAAAACGGACTACTCTGGCTTTGATAGAAACATGTGGCCTCCGCGCCATAATAGCAGTCATCGCTTACACGCAGAGATGGTTAGAAAAGCTTCTACCCAAACAAAGCATGAGTCATTGGCTACAAAGTATGGGGTCTATTATAGTTGCCTGTTACAGCTTGAATACTTTCATGCAGTGAGGTTCACTGCAATTGACCCCATGCATAATTTGTTTCTAGGCACTGCAGAGAATGTTTTCAAGCTCTGGGTTAAGAAAAACTTATTATCAAAGAAAGATCTTAAAGTATTGGAAGAACGTATAAATTCATTTGATGTTGGAACAGGAATCGGAAGATTGCCACAAAGAATAGCATCCAATTATGGTGGCTACACAGCATCACAATGGAAGAACTGGACCTTAATTTACTCCATGTTTTGTTTAAAAGGCCTGTTACCAGAAAGCCATTTAAGGTGCTGGCAGACATTTGTTCTTGCTTGCCAGTATCTTTGTACACCAGTTCTGTCCAAGACTGATATTTTGAAAGCTGATCTGCTATTTGTGAAGTTTGGAGAGAGATTTGAATGTTTGTATGGCAAACAGGCTGTGACACCAAATATGCATCTCCACTGCCATTTAAAAGAATGTGTTATTGACTGTGGTCCAGTGCATTCCTTTTGGTGTTTTAGCTTTGAGCGTTTTAATGGAATTCTTGGATCAATGCAAGTGAATGGACGATCTGTTGAGGTACAGTTAATGCGTAAACTTCTAGCTGGGCGGTTCGTCTGGGATGTTCAATTTCCATGTGACTTTCAGGAAAACTTTTTGCCATTTTTTGCTCAAGAGGGAAATGGTTCACCTGAGAGCTTTATTGTGAAAACAGCTTCTGAACTGTTTAACAGTGCTTGTTGCTTAAGTCTGGGAGCCTTTCAGTGGA